AAGTACACCTGTGTAAGCCCTAAATGAGCAAATTGACCACATGCAAATAGACAAGAGGCATCAAAGCTTCATACAAAATATAAGGAACTATTGTGTAGCAGACTATAATTCGAACCATACTGTGATTAGAATCAAACTTTGTCAGAGGCTGAAGCGAATCCACCAAATTGGGAACCAAGTAGAAAGAAAGAGGCATGAAGTCCGTAATTTGAAAAACACAAAATAATAAGAACAGTAAAAAGAGAATTCAAAAATGACAAAATGACAAAAATGAACAGGTTGGAAATAACTCGAATTTTGAAATGTATTTAATATTTTTGATTATCAGTTTCAATTTTCCCTATTTTGACTGACAGAGTACCAATTTTGACTAAAATACTCTAAACTGCATGTAGCTTATATTATAGTAATTGAAAATTGGGGTAAAATAACTTCTTTTTTTTTCACGGTCTCTTGGACTATAATGTGGGATTAAGCATTATTTCAATTAAAACATAAATTTGAGAATTTGAAGTGTTAATAATAATAAAAGACTGTTGTAAGGTTTAGTAACCGTTCATGTTCACAGTTTTGTAGATATGAAGAACAATGTACTAGTAATTGACAGACTTAGAAAACAGCAAATAGATATTGGAAAATGATTTGAAAAACTGAAAAAAAAAAAAAGACCCTATGATCAATCCCACCATGAAGAAGTCCATGCATGTTAGAATAGAAGGGCAACAGTGTAATAACTTCTACAACAGAAAGCAATGAAAGGCTATGAATAATAAGAATCTGGGACCATTCCATGCCAAACCATCCAGCTAAAGTTCAACTTGACACCCACCTGTCACAGATTTTGATGAAAATTTAGTATATCTTAAGTGAATACATAAATAAGAAAAACTATCAAATTTCACACAATTTTAACAAGTATTTTTGGAATTATGATAAGTTGAAGTTTTTAATGTAAATTCAATATCTATTGAACTAGAGACATCACAATTTATTTATCAGTCTTAAATTTATGGAGAACCAAATGACACCATAATTCATAGCATTATAATTTTTCATTGTGAATAAAATTAGTTTTAAATCCTTTCTAGTTCTAAATTTTTTTCAAGTTGAGATGCATATATTGAAAAATATCTGAAGCTAAAATATCTCTCCAGATACTCTAATAATACCGTGTATTACTAAAAAGAGCATTAAATATCCTTTCAAATGATGAAATAATATCGGCAGACTTTTTAGTTTTATTTCAATGTTAAGCAAACATCTTTTTTTTTTGCCTGTTCTGGAAATGTTATGTACAATAAAGGAAAAACCTTGTATTAAAAAAAAATAGATTGTTCTTAACTTCAGCACTGTAGAAGTAAAACAAATTAAAAATAAAACTTACAAGGTACCTTTGTACATATATACTAGATAAGGCATACTTCAACTTGTATTAATACAACATAGGAAGGGTCTTGGATTCAGGTCTTACAAGCGGAGGCTAAAGTAAGTGGGTCGCCATTTCAACCAAACTTTTTTCTGTGAAATTACATAAAAAAATATTGGACACATGTCCCAGAGTTCGTTTTAATGGGCCCTAGGAGTTAAGAACAAAAAAATGTTATGTAATTTCGGACAAAATTTATGTTATTCATTTTTGCCTTTGCTTTGCCTCGATTTTTAGGTAATTGTATATTAATCAATTTATTTTTTTGTAGAGAATGAAGAAAACATTGACTATTGTATTAAATAAGTTATAATGTGTCATAAATTACAAAAACCAAAAGGCTCTTCCAGCATAGTAGGCCAAGTAAATTTTTGTTATGAAAAAGCAAGATAAATTCGTTTTTAGTGTCATTCGAAACTTTTAGATATAAATTTTTATAGAAATAAAAATTACAAAATTTAATATTTGATTTTTTTTTTTTCTGGCTGATAACTAAAACATTCATAACTTCTCAGGATTTATTCCAAATTCAACGTTGTATAACAGTTGGATAGCTGAATTGTTGCTCTCCCAGCCCACATATTTATGAGACACTATAAATCATTTAATAGAATAGTCAATATTTTTTTCTAATTCTGCCCAAAAACAATAAATCGATTGATGTATAGTAACCTAAAAATCCAGACCAAGCAAAAGCAAAAATAAATAATATAAATTTTGTTCAAAATTACATAAATTTTTTTTCTCGACTCCTAGGGCCCATTGGAACGAACACGAGATATGTGTGCTATATTTTATGATGCAGTTTAACAGAAAAAAATTTGGTTGAAATCGGTGACACACTGATTGTTGTAGCCTCCCCTTGTTAGTAAGGAGGTACTGTCTTTAGGCCAATGGTTGTGGTTGGAGGTGACTGGCAACGATCTTGTTCAATTGCTAGGTTTTTTTCCCAATCAAGTATACTGACAGAGGCTGGGTGGGACTCTGGAGGGTCTTTTGACCACATGACTTATATAACCGAATAAATGATTATCTTCAATAGCAAGAGCAGAAACTGGACTCAGGGAGATAGTTGGTAGGAAACACTGGATAAAATCTCTCTCCAGATACCTTAATACTCAACCTAGTGAAGCTACTGACAGTCAGTAAATAGAATATTTCTCTCTCTATGCAGATTATTATTATGTGACAGATTATTATATTTCTAAATGAAAAAAAAAAAATTGGATGAATGATAATTTTTTTATTTAATTCTTGCATATAGTGTTTCATCTATTCATCTTGAAAGAATAAAAACAGTTTTCAGAAATATGTAAACCAAAGAAACAATTAACTGGAAGGGCGATGAATCACTCAGTCAATAACATGATTGAGGACATTAATTTCAGCGGAATAGAAATAAAAAGTACTAACTCTTGTTTACAGTAGTAAATAGGTTCTAAAAATTGGGTTGACTGTAAATAATTAAGAGTATACCTTAACTGGACCAAGGCTTTATTATGTTAGAGATAAAAACCGAAGTGATGCGATACTTTTGTCCAGCAGTTTATTTCAATTCTTCTTTTTGGGCGCTAGTTAGTAGTGGTTAGTGCCACATATCAGCAATGGCTTTATTATAGCATTTCACACCCTTAATTTGAGATTTCCAGATATTGTTTGGGATTTCAGTATTCTTGAAAGACAAAAGAGAGCTCTGTTTGTGATTTTTATCAGCTGGTCTATCTCAGAAAGTTGGTTATTTATTGAGGTTACAGCAGAGCCTATCTATCAGAATCTATCTACCATGGAAGCGGTTTTCTATCTATGTAGATCCGGTTATTAGGAGGGATTTTTTTGGCTTACAGCCACATATTTTGTTTTAAAATGTTATATACATATATGTGTGTGTATATATATACACACACATAAAATAAGTAACAATGTATGCCTAATTATTTAAATATAATATCAGATCTAGAGTTATTAAACTACTGTAAATGTATTTAAGGTTATAAGCATATGTTTTACACATGAAACATTTTTTTATTTCACACAAGTACAATGAAATAGTTTTTTGAAACAATGTCATAGGCTTGATTCTGTGGACTTTTATCAAACTTAAAAAAAATTAAATTTTTAATTATAATTTTCATCATTCTCCATTATTTTCTACATTAGATATTGTTTTTTCTAAAATTCTTCTTTTTCCAACGATATATTATACGTATCTGACTAGTATTTCCGGAGATTTGTTTTCAACCTAAATAAACATTTATTTTGTGTTTGATCTTTGGTTTAACTTCTTTCTCCAGTTTCTAATTATCGGATTCTTTCATACTTTATATTTAACCATTTTTTATAGTTACTGTCAATAAGAGAGAGTTAATTTTTTAAAATAAACCAATTTAATGATGCTTTAGAGGAAGACTCAAATCAACATTGGGCATTTAAGCCCTGTAAAATGACATCAATTTGGATAAGACCTAGCTGATATTAAAAACAACTTAATAAGTACACACGTACACACATAAACCTATTACTTACTATTATAGAACCACAGTATAAAAATTCAAACTGTTTTGCAATTGACACTCCTATAACAGGCATGAATAGACAAATTTTCACCACTGAGAGCTGAATTTACCATAAATAGATATAATGATTTTAAAAAAGTATTTTTTAAAAATTCATTTAGCAAAAAAATAAATACTTATAGGTTAGATAACTGTGAAGTTGTTTCATATTATTATCATAGTTTCATATTATACAAAAATAGAGAATTCCTGAGGTGAAAATTACATATGTGGCTATTCTCAATTAAAAAAAAAAAAATCCAAGTACAGTAAGTAAGTACATATTTACTTATTAGTTATGTTTTCACTAGTAAAAAGTATGGGAACAAAATTCTTTGTTAACAAAAATCGAAATTTTCACTGTTAGAATAAAATTAATTTAATGAAAAATATAAGAATATGAGTCAGGTTTATGACAGTAGAAACATTAAAAAGTTTGAAGAATAATTTGGCTACCTTATGAAGAACTTTTGTAAACTTTATTCCAGGTTGGGCAACTTCTAGTAACATATATACTGTGATTAAAATTAATAAAAAAACATATTCTGAAAATTAAATCTGTGCCTTTGTCTTTGTTGTCATCCTAATATATAACCCTCATATTTACATAGAAAGATAAGACTTGTCATTCGGAAATTCAAATTCATGAGATTTTTCTGTAATCTAATCCTCATGAATATTATGGGATTAGTGTGAATAAAGGAATGAATCAGTCATTTCAGCATGACAGTTCTTAAAAGCAAAGTTTAATGGTATTACAAAAACTTTTAAAAGATTTGAAATATGTTTAAAAATAAATAAATAAAAAAGTACTACAAACTTAAGCAATAAAACTTAATGGTGTAGAGATGGTTGACTGTGATGATAATATGAAAAGGAATTGGTCGAGGGGAGGGGGTGCGGTATCGTGTATCACACGATTAGAGTAAAACATCTTAAAAAAATTTAATAATATGTATTAAAATGAAACAATAATTAATTGTTCTATATTAAAAAATCACACAGCTGTGCTGAATTCTTACATGTAACCGTTTGAGAAGAACAGCATCTGTAGAAGAAGTTGCATTTGCATTCTGTCGAGCAGCTTTCCAGAATTGTTTCTGGGCTGAGTATCGATTCATAGGACATATTTTAAATAGACAATCTGGAAATTAAGAATAAAATAAATAGATATACAATTTGTTTCAATAAAACAGGAAAGGATTAAAAATATAGAAAGATTACAAGAATGCATTTCATAAAGTCAAAAACATTCGATACTGATATTCTTAAAGTCTCAATCAAATGTATTATATTATAATATTATAATATAAGTATGTATTATAATTATAATTAATTGAAGTATTAACTTATTTTTTATTTAACCCTTATTGGTCATAAGTCATCTCTCATGTGACAGTCAAAAATGTCATTCTTACAATACTGATATTGTTTTGCATATTTACTGGAATTAGCTACAATCTAGTGAGAATTACTAATAAAAAGTTAGGGAATGATAAGGGTTAAAAATAAACTTATCATCAGATAGACTATCATTCGCTGATAGTGGATTTTAGATTTTTTAGTCCAGTCAATAAATGCTCAAACAGAGGTATAATGGTGGCTACACAATTTTTGACTTTGAGACATTGTTTGGACTAGCAAGGAGGTAAATATACTAAAAGTCTCCATTCCTAAGTGGTGAGGCAGATGTGGAGGGGGAGGGTCCCCAAGAAGGTCACTTCATTCTACGATTAAGTCGTGAAGAAGAAAGTTTTAATTAATTACATTTTCTTTAATAATATAGATTATTTTACAAGTTTATCTTTAATGGTACAAAAGTTAGATCAATTATAATATTATATGTCAATTCCGATAATTTGCAGAAAAAAATAATTTTTATAATATAGAGTAGAAAAATAACTTTATTCTAGGATGAAGTCCCCTAGGAATAACAAAAGGTTACAGAACAAAAGAAATACTTCTGGCTAGAAGAACTAAATTAAATAAAAAGAGTTGCATTAAATAAATAAAAAAACATCATGAAACTAATAAAATATACAAAATCAAACTGAAGATACTATATAAAAAATACCTATAACTAAACATAATACAAATAAGAAATGAAACACAATAATTGCTGCAAAGCTAAAAGATAAATAAAAAGGATAGTAGAAAATAGGAAGAAAAGCAATAAATCAAAAATAAATTCCTTTAATAGATGAGCACCAAGTAAAAATAAATAAAGTAGAGTACAATAAAAATAAATAAACATTTATGTATTCTATCTTAGTACATATTAAAACATTTTATGTTTTATATTCATATTTATAAAATATTTTATATTTAGTACAAATACATTATTTTATGTATATGTATATGTATATGTATATATATATATATATATATATATATATATATATATATACACACAGACATAGAGATATAGATGTATGTATATAGAGATTATCTTGAAAATAGTCATAGTTGAGGACGGATAGCTCTGAAACAAAGCAAGGAAGCAAAAAAAGGTATATAATTAACCATATCGCAAATTTTGCTAACTTTAATTGTGTATAGAACGTTTTTGTCAATGCGATGGATAGTTTTCCTGATATAAGCGAAAATCCGAAAAAAGTGATCTTCTAGGTGCCCCCCCAACATCTGGCTCACCGCCTAGGAGTGGAGACTTTTAGACTCAACTATGAATATTTTCGAAAAAAAAAATAATTTGCCTCATTTTTATTGCTATATTTGACTAGCTAACGTTTGATTGCTACATTCTACGATTAAGTCATGCGGAAGAATGTTTAAATAATTAAATTTTCTTGAAGAATATGTATTGTTTTACTAGTTTATCTTTAACAGTTCAAAAGTTAGATAAAAAAAAAAAAAAATTATGATATTTGTTATTACATTGCTCTAACTCTCTATACATCTAAATCTTTATGTGTGTGTATATATATATATATATACTGTTGATCAAGTGTTCACCCTTAGGACAATTTTGGAACGGAGTCATGAATATAAAATTCCTACACAGCACCTGTTTGTCGACTTTAAGAGGGCATATGACAGCATCAAACGACCTAAGCTGAATGAGGCATTGGGAGAAATGGGTATCCCATGCAAACTGATACGTCTCGTGAAGTTAACAATGAAAGATGTAAGGTGTCAGGTATGGATTCAATCTGACTGCTCTGAAGCATTTCCCTCCAACAAAGGATTAAGACAGGGTGATGGACTGGCGTGTCTCCTGTTCAATCTTGCACTGGAGAAGGCTGTGCGGGATTCAGGAATCCAGACGGACCACACGATATTCACCTGTACTGTACAGATATTGGGATACGCTGACGATCTGGATATCGTAGCCAGGACACAATCGGCATTGGTAAAGGCCTTTAGGAAACTAATGGACGCTGCTTCAGCCATGGGATTGGTCATAAACGAGGAAAAAATGAAATACATGCATACAGGGACTGTTGGCGACGAGGAACTGAGTGTTGGCCCTTACACATTATAAAGGGTGAACGAGTTTACGTATTTGGGATCTCTAGTAACTCTAATAAACGATGTCTCTGCTGAGATAAGGAAAAGGCTGGTGGCAGCAAATAGAGCATATTTTTTTGCCTTACTGAAAACTCTCCGCAGCAGATCCATTACCAGGGGCACTAAACTGGTCGTATACAAGACTCTTATACGCCCGGTTCTTACCTATGCTTCCCAATCCTGGACCATCTCAAGAAGTGACGAAAATAATCTTCTGATTTTCGAAAGAAAAATCTTATGTCGAATAGTTAGCCAAGTGAGAGATGGAGATGGATGGAGGATTAGGAGGAACCGGGAGCTTTATGAACTTTACAGAGATAGATATGGACGTTGTAAGGTTTATAAAGCTAGGGAGGCTCAGTTGGGCTGGTCATGTCGCAAGGATGAAAGCGGAAGAAATTCCTAGGAAAGTGGTGGATACCGCCCTTCATGGTACGTGACGACCTGGTAGGCCAAGGCTTCGATGGGTTGATGGAGTGGCAGCGGACGCATGGAGCCTTCAACGGATCAGAAGCTGGAAAGCGGCAGAATAAAATCAGGCCGAATGGCGGCGGCTCATTGAGGATGCCAAGACCCACCCAGGGTTATAGCGCCACGTAGATATATATATATATATATATATATATATATATATATATATATATATATATATATATAGATACATACATACATACATACATACATACATAAAATAATGTATATGTACTAAATATAAAATGTTTAGTATGTTTACCATCTTACTAGTCCAAAAAATGTCGGAAAGTCAAAAATTGTGTCGCCACCATTTCTATAATCCTATCTTTCTATAATTATTCATTGACTGGACTAATTGTAAATAAAGTGGGCGTGTACATTTACCAGATTTGATTCAGTGATGTTATTTATATCAATGAATGATTAATCTCTTGAAACAACTTCTATTTATGAATATATATATATATATATTCCCCTGGGGGTTACACTGCTTGTTGTAAAAGGTGACTAAAGGGACAACTGACCATTGACCTCTTACTTTATCCTATCTTTCTCCCCTTTCTAATAGTCCCTGTCATCCTAATCCTTTTATTTCTGGAATACCTATCCCCACGGCCTTATGGGTGAGAACGAAAGTTTTGAAGCTAAGGGAGTAAACCCTGATAAAAAAATCCCTGCCCTCCAGACTGGAGGTTGACACTCCTATCCCGGAAAAAGACAATTTTTATGAAACCAGAAACAAAGAAAAGCGGAATGGATTTAATGGAAATACCTAGGCAAGATAAAGGAATTTCAAAATCTTTAATGTTGGCGACGTGGAATGTTAGTGGAATGGCCCAAGCAAGAACTCAGAGGAAGTGCTGGAAAAGTACAATGTGGATGTAGCCACGCTATAAGAAATAAAATGGGAAAACAGAGATAAAGGACCTTGAGAAGTATACGATCATAAATAGTGCACACCAACGAAACTACCTGGGCTCAGGTTACATGATACGGAAAAGTCTGAAGTATTTACTTTTGAACTTTAAAATTGTTAATAAAACACAATGTGTGATCCATTTAAAAGGGAAGTTCTGTAATACATCTATAATAAGTGTACATACATCAATAGAGGATAGGGAGGATGAGGACAAAGATAACTTTTATGATACCCTCTCCAGGGAATATGATTTGCTGTCTGGACATGCTGTAAAAATAACTATGGGAGATATGAATGCCAAGGTCGGTAAAGAACTGGCATTTAGGCCCACAAGGGGACCACACAGTATACATGCTGTGTCAAACGAGGGCTGAGAATTATCAATTTTGTCATGAAAAAGGGTATGAAAATTAGGAGCACACATTTCCCTCATAAAGAGATTCATAAGGAAACTTGGATACCCTCATATGGTAAGATAAGAAATCAAATTGACCACGTTCTCATAGATGGTAGGTATAACTCAGACATCTCGGATGTGAGAAGTTATTGAGGTGCAGATGTTGACTCTGATCACTTTCTAATTAAGGTACGCTAAGGGCAGAAGCTTGCTAAAAGAGCTCGAGGACATAGAGATAAGTCCACAACAGTGAGCTCCTCAAACTGAAAACGTATTCAGACCCATTTAGGGAGAAATTGAATGGAACCTTAGTGGACATACAAGGAAGCGAAAGTAGGGGAATATATGATAACTGGAGGAGAATTGAAAGGCCATTAAGGAGGACTGCAGAAGAGGTCCTGGGAGTGTGACAGATTTTGGCAAGAAGTGAATGGTTTGATGAGAAGTGTCAGATGTCATTGAGAGAGAGAAATGAAGCAAGAATTAAAATTCTGCAAAGAAATACGAGGCAAACTAAGGAAGTCTATAGCACGAAAAAAAGGGATGTCAAGACTATTTGTAGGAAGAAGAAAAGGATGCTGGAAAGAAGCAGAGTGGAAATACTACAAGCTGAATGGGAAGCAAGGCAGTCCAGAATGTTTTACAAAGGGGTTAGGAAATTTAAGAATGGTTTCCAACCGAGGATAGGTGTTTGCAAAGAAGATAACATAATAAGAGAGATAGAGAAGGTAACATAATGGGAGGAACTGCAGAGATATTGGATACTTGGCAACAATATTTTCAGGATCTTCTGAATGGAGATGAAAATACAGAGGCATGTGCTGCATGAACGTATACAAGAAGAATTACAGAGTGGTGAGGATGGTTTGGAGTCCTCTGATTATGAAAATTTCTTGGAAGTGATTGAAACACTTAAAAACAATAAAAGCTCAGGTTATGATGGCATTGACACGGAAATGCTGAAATATGGTGGAGAGGACCTACTAAAAAAAGTGCACGACTTGTTGGAGGTGTGGGTAGAAGAAAAAATGGCAAAAGAGTGGACGGTAGCTATTCTCTGCCCAGTTTTCAAAAAAGGAGAGAGAACTAAATGCAAAAATTATAGAGGTTATATCTCTCTTGGGAGTAGTGTATAAGGCATTTTCTTCACTCCTAAATAAAAAGTTACAAGTATAACCCTAACACATTCTTGGTGAGTATCAATGCAGTTTCAGGCCAAATAGATCTACAATCGACTTATTATTTTCCATCAAACAGATGCTGATAAAATGTAATGAATATAATGTAGATCTTCATCACCTTTTCATCGATTTTAAACAGGCTTACGACAGTGCCAATAGAAGCGAATTGTTGAAAGTAATGGTCACTTTAGGTGTACCAAAAAAGTCAGTTAAACTAACAAGGATGACACTAACTGATAGCTGCTGTAAAGTCAAGATACAAGGAGCACTATCTTATCATTAGGTTATCTACAGAAAAGTTTGCAGTTGAAGATGACCTAAGGCAGGGAAACCTATTGTCCCCAATTCTTTTCAACTTAGCCTAAGAATATGCAGTACGTGCTATTCGGACAAGCCCTAATGGCATGATATATAATAGGCTGTCACAGCTTCTAGCCTACGCTTCCGCTTCGTTCAGAGCATACCAGGTTTGGCTTTCACCTTTGCCTATTCCTAATCTATATCTCTTGCTGAATGACTATGTATTCTTTCCTTAGGAGAGCAGTTTCCAGCAGATTCACCACAGTATCATGCCTTAGCACGATTCCCACCATAATACAAAAAGTAGTTTTGTATGATATGACTGGCTGTTTTATTTGCAGGACACCCAGCTCTACATCAGGTCTCTGTGTAGGCCCTGTGTCTTCTATATAGTCTAACTCTTGTTGCAAGGGCATTTATGCGGGTTTTTAAGCTTTATATGAAGGGTAGATGTTGGAGAATTTTTTTATTTCCTTAATGCTTACCACTAACACTGCAATACAATTTCGTGGATAGTATTTTTTTTTCATTAACCACTCAAAGTATTTTCTGGATTGAGGCCCATCTTAGTGAGGTTGCTTGATAGTTTTCTCATTTCCTTGGTAATAAAAGAAAAATGAGAGGTGGCTCTTGCTAAGGGACAAGCCGAATACTCCATGTGTCATAATCTAGCAAGCTTGAGTGAAGGTATAGCAATGCCAAAACTCATTACGCTTACCCATTCTCAGGACTCCATTTATAGTGATGAACGTGCCACTCATCAAAGAGGAACAATATTTTTATAAAGTAATACCATTAAAGAAACGATGCAATTAAACAAGTTTTCTCTGACAGACATTTTATTCACATTTGCGACAAAAAATTCTTCTAACAATTAAAAAAATTATAATCTTCTATAAAAAGAAGCTAAAAATAAAGTACTTTTATTTTATATTATTTTTTTACAACAGATGATCAAAAACAATGATACAATAAACTTGTTCCACTTGTTTTTTTATACTATCTAGTTTAAAGATTATCTTTTAAAATTTATATATCATAATTAAATTAATTAGAATAAAAGCTAATGCAACTATTAAATGTGTAATGAATCTAATTCTAAATGAAAATAAATATATAAAACATAATGGTGATAATACCTCGAAATTTCTTTGGAGGGTTTGATAAATCTCCTGCCTTTGGACAAACCACAGTTCGATCATCCACCAACCTATGAAATAGAATCATGTCCAATTACACTGTTCAGTTTAATTTTACATCAAATAGAAATCTGACATACCCTAAAGTGCTGAGAAAACCAGATGTGATTCCTTCAGCAAATAAAGAAACAATATCACCGAGATGAAGGAAACTAGCTGAACCCGCTATTTCTCCCATTTTGTTAATATTTGAGTCAATATTTTTTTTAATAACAAAATCACATTACACCAATATTATTTAAAATATATTATTATTACAAAATTATCAACAGAGTAACTTTAATTCAAGAATTTGTTTTCAGGTATGTATAAAGATCTTGCCTAAATTATACTTTACTGGCATTTTTAATAAAATGTTGGGGATAAGATTTCTACACATTGTACTTAAAAAACTTAAAAATAAATAAATAAAATATTAACAGAACAACAAGTGGCAAAACCTGCTGTTTAAAGCCTCCCCATTTGTTTACTAAACTGTATATTTGCTATTAGAAAATATTCCAACGAGATAATAGCCTGTTTCTGAAATTTATAACATAGACATGGTAAAAAACTGGGAAAGACGTAAGATTTTTTTTATTCACAGATTTCAGATTCAAAATAATCTGTTTGTTATGAATTACATAGTTAACTTCATATCCATGATTCAAATTAAATACAATAGTTTAAATTTGAATTTGAATCAAAATACTCAAGTAGACGAGATCAATTATAGATTAACCAAATCAAGATCAAGTAGATAAACCAAACCAATACATTGTGCTTATTCTAATTTTTCTTGACACGGGACCGCGGTGGTTGAGCGAGTTAAGACGCCTGCAAAAATGTTATGTCATGAGTTCAAATCCCGTTCGCGGTATTTAATAACGAAAATAAAAAAAATAAATTAAAATAAATAAGCGCAGGCCCTCAAACTAAGGGTGTAGAACGCCGTGATTAAGCCAGTTCTGCTGTACGGTTGTGAAACCTGGGCTCTAACAGGCACATTAGAAGCCAGAATTGAGAGATTCGAAAGAAAAGTCCTACGTAGGATAACAGGACCTATATGGAACCAGAACCTTAACACATGGAGGAGAAGGAACAATAAAGAACTGTTGAAAAAAACGGGTCAGTCAATATCTCATGACATGAAGGCAAGGAGGTTAAGATGGGCAGGGCATGTAGCTCGACATGCATCCATCAGGACGCCTCTACAAGACAATGAATGCCAGAGTAGTAGGTAAGAGACCACGTGGGAGGCCAAAAACCAGATGGATAGATAGGATAAACAAAGATACGGCTGAGCTTCTTGCAGCAAACTGGAAAGCAGTAGTCCAAGATAGACAGAGGTGGAGAAGGCTGGTTCAGGCGGCCAAAAATCTACAAGGTCTGTAGAGCCAACCAAAAATAAATAAATAAATAAAGCGCATGCCCAACTCGATTGCTTAGATCACTACGGCGCGGGTTCAATTCCCACATGGGATCGGTAACGTCCCAACTCAGATATTCACTGGTAGGTGATCGACTCCTATGTCTTATACCATAGCTCCTGGTCCTCCAGGTTGGGGGTTGGGCATAGGGCTAATAATCCCCTATCCCATAAAAAAACAGGGTGAAGATTTCTGCAAAAGAGTTGGCAACCATCCTTCAGGAAAGTGCCTGATGAAAAGGGAGTGATTGGGTCTGGTCATTGTAAACCACGTGCTCCCTACATGTCTGCAATCACAGCTGTTGCCTCTTACAGCCCCAAAGCTGCTGTAAGACTCAGGGCGGAAGCAGAAAAGACAAGAGGCGTTAGAAGAAAAAACATTTTTTTTTTCTTGACTCGCTAGGAGAATATAGGTCGTTAGGATTGCATCAGATCATAAGGTTCGCATTTTTACTCACAAGGGCTTACGTATGTGATCAAGGTATTATGACATGAGGCCAATGCAAGTGGCTATAGGAGGGGGCTGTAATACCTTCACTTTTTTTAAACATATGAAACATAAAATGATGTTCTACCCAAGTGTTTATAATAATATATAATTAAAAAATAACCTGATTCTAAATAATCTTGAAATAAGCATAATTAGCCAACAACCATCAAGTTTTTTTATGAATTCAGATGGACTGTTTTGAGAATTATTGCTACGATGTAATAAAATATAAGATATGAAATATTTTAACATTAGTAAATTGGTATTGGGAATTAAAACTTAGCTATGGTTTAAGAAGCGGTGTAGTTAGAAGGTTGCAGCACAGCATCTGCTGATTGAATCTACTCTTTTCCAGTCAAAGCCCAGGTCCAAACTCTGTCAAGACGCCCATCTGAACGGTCTATATAGGCCAAGCTGCCTCTTCAGTCCCCAAGGCCGGGAAAAGACATAATACCAACGATGATTTTGATTGGTTCTTAACTTCGGCGGGTGTACCGATTATTTTAACAGGCCACACCAGTTACTTAACCCGTTACTCGTTACCAGTTACTCTAAGACAAGGCCTTTCCCAGCCCTATGTCCTTAAGTTACCTCCTCTCCCTCCACCTGGACGCTGTCTGTGATGTCAGCAGATGTGTTTGGTGTCAGCATAGTTTAACTTTGTTTTCGGCATCTCATAATAATTTTAAAAGATTTGTTGTTATGCTGGATACATAGCACATTCATGATTACTTACGTGTTTTTTCTATTTTTTCTTAATAAAAATATACACCCCAGCTTTGGCTCTTTCACTTTTTTTTACTCCACTAAATAAGTGAATATAGTCATCATATACACTGACAGGCAAAAAATTCCACTCACTTCATTTTTTCATCTAAAAATATTTCATCCACTTGTAAAAAAAGTTGTATTTTTATATAATACATGGTATTTGTAGATAATACTTAGTATTTATGGAATTTTATAATCTTTTTACCTTTAATAATGAAAATGTGATTGGGTAAGAAAGATTAGAGAAAAAAAAATTGAAAAACGAACTATTATTATTCTAAACGAAATTAATTATACCTCCACTTGCCTTCACTACTTCTTGAAGACGCCTCGGCATACTTTCCACCAGTCGGGAAATGTCCCTTTGCTGGAGGATAGCCCATTCCTCCCGAAGAGCCCTTTCAAGGTCCTGCAGTGTAGCAGGAAGTGTTGCACTCGCTCTTATTCGTCTTCCGAGGTTATCCCATAAATGCTCAATGGGGTTCAAATCTGGAAAACGTGCTGGCCAGGCTAAAACCTCAATATTGTTCTGTTAAGGAACGTCTGCACTATGCGGGCGACATGAGGGTGTGCATTATCGTGCATTAGAATAGAACGATCGCCGATTTCGTTGAGGATAGGAAACAAATGAGGTCCCAAAATCATCCCAAAACCCATAGCGAATGGCCGTCAAAGACCCTTCACGAACAACAACCAATTGTGCGGCGCTCCATTGAAATCCCAGCCCACACCATTAAGGAACCACGTTGGAATGGTTGGCTCTGGGAAAAATTACAGGCTGAATATCTTTCGTTTCTTCTTCTCCACACCCTTTCACGTCCGTCTGGAGATCGAAGAGCGAATCTTGACTCATCTGTAAAAAGTACAGCACTCCCTTCGTCCATAGTCCAATGGCTGTATTCTCGAGCAAAAGCCAGCAGTGTTACTCTGTGAGTTCTGGTCAACTCTGGTCCTCTTACTGGACGAAAAGCCATTAATCCATACTCATTTAATCTTCACCTCGAACTTCTTCGAGCTGATGAATCGCTTGAACAACGGTAAGGTGCCGGTTTCGTAAAATTCTCAAAGTCAAAAACCGGTCATCCTGTGGTTCTGTTACCCTAGGCCATCCAGAACCGGCCTTCTATTGTAAGAACCAGTTTCCCGAAAACGCCTGACGATGTCTCGTAAAGTTTCATATGGAACTCCGATGGCATTAGTTGCATTTCTAATGGAACGTCCATCATCAATAAATGCCACACCACGCGCAACATCCTCAGCACTAAGAGGCATTTTTAAACTTTGTACGTTCCAAATTCCAATTCGTATTTTCCATTTCCGTAGCCATTGCCGTTTCCTTTTTGACACTCTTCTATCCGAGACTGTTTTGTTAGGTTTGAATGTCAATTATGGTTTTCCAGCGATGAACTGCAAACCCAACGTCTACCCTCCAACCTGGAGGACCAGGGAACATGAATTCGGGGTTTCCTACCCCTAGAAGGACCGCCTTTGCTTCGGCTAGGAGCACCATCTGCCTCTGAAATTCCATTTCATGCACTTCACAATGGTTACACCGCCATGTCTCGGTACCACCTCTGATAGAGTTACCCAGGGAGCACCACGAGGATGTAGAGATCGGATATATCCATCTTCATTTCAATTTAGAAGTTTAAAAATAAAACCTTGTAGACCCTGTGGCTGCAAACTTGGCTGCCCGACACGATTGGTATGTCTACTCACATGAATTGGCGGTAAGAATGGATCTCCATCTATCATCAGGATTCTTCATTATGCTTCCTATAGAACATATAATTAACAATATTTCAAAGATTTCTTGCAATCGCCATATATCGCCATTTATACTAAAGACATATTTACAACTATTTTATGTTTTGTTGTTCTTTTCTTTAGTTGTCATCATCATATTTTCTCATTACGATACAGATCCAACTTATACCTGACAGAATTCCTTCTAATGTGTCAGTTTAGATTACCATAGCTTTATTTACAAATATTGTGAAATGGTCTATTTACTTTCATTTACGAAGTCTATTTTAAAGAACAAATCGATGTTTAGCTTAAATATGCTTTCTTTCCCCATGAATGGTAAAATTCTCTATTATTTTTAAATATGGATCATTTTAATGGCACGTTCTGCTCAACATTGATTTTACAATAATGAAATTTTCAGTTGTCAAGAAACGTGCAATTTAACAATGAATCGTTCAACAATGAGTTTTATTATTTTTTAATGTATTTTAAATGAACAATATTCATACTGTAGCGGAATATCACGCTATTAATTGATCACGTATTGTGATGAGGTCTAGTTAATACATAACTCTTCTAATCTGCTATTGTAAAAGGGTATTATTTACATTTTTAATAAGTGTATGTTGGGTCATTATTTTACACACCGCTCTGCCAGAGTGGTGACCCCAACATAACATAGTGAGTTACGATTTAATTAACCTTTTATTTTTATTGATATTAAATATCACATGCATCTGGTGGAGAGTAATTTAATCGATGTGTTACTGATAGCAATGAAGGGAAAGTTACAGAGAAAGTAGTGAAGGGCATAGCTGTATAACATCACTAGCAGTTGCAACAGTTTCTGCTACTTTCAAAAAACAGTTTAAATAAAAACAACAGATATGACTGTTTCGGAATACGACAAGCCAAAAAAGGTGAAGTGTCTTCAAAGTAATTATAAATTTAAATGTTTAATTTAATTTAATTGTATCATAACATATCAACTGTGGGACGAAAAAAAACGTATTTATAATTGCTGATAAAAGTCAA